TCGATCCCTCACGTGGCAACGCAGGGGGGAGGGCGGAAAACATACGAGGTTCGCGTGAGGGCGGAGGAAATGCGATTCCATTCTGCCCACTGCGTGGCAACGCAGGGTAGCGACGCACACACGCACTTGTTGTTAATCGATCTAAGGATCTGCATATACATGTGTATGCATATGTGTGTGTATGCGTGTATGCTTACATGCTCGACTATAGTTGGTACACATACGTGTATATACAGGTGTGCGTGTATGTATGCAAGCAGAGATGTCTGTATACAGCGATGCATGCATGTATGGATGTACGTGTGTGGTGTATGTGTAGTTGTGTATATATGTCATACATGTCTGCACGTCTGCATGCATACATGCATGTATGCATGTATGTGTTTGTACGAACTTACGTATGTGTACAAGTACACTGATGTGCATGAATGTATGTGTGTAGGTATGTATGCATGTATACATGCATGCGTGTATGGATGTGTATATATATGTATATATATGCGTGTGCGCGTTAATCCGTGTATGTGGTTATGCTTGTTTGTGAGTATGCATGCGTGTAGGTATGTATGGATATGAACGTTTATATGCATGTGTGTATGAATGTATGTTTGTATGTATGTGTACGTATATGCGTATAGGTAATTGCGTGCTCAACAATATGTGCTTATGTGTATGTGTATGTGCACGTGTATGTACGTATTCATGTATATAGGTGTATGCGTATGTGTAAATATGCATGCGTATGCAATTGCATTTGTATGTGTATGATTATACCCATGAGTCGGTATGCATACATGCACCCGCATACATGCATACGTACAGACAGACTGACATCCATATCTGTATATATATATACATACATACATATCCAGATGTGTGTTTGCATCTGTAACACGGGGCAGGCCCTCCTGGGGCCCAACCCAGCGACCTCAGGCCTCCATGGGGGGACCAGGGCCCCAGAAGCGCTCTCAGGGAGCGCCATGACAGGTCAAGAGAGCCTGAAGGCGGCCCTCGGAGCTCAAGACTGCCGCAAGAAACCCCCAAGCGGCTCGCAAGAGGCTTCCAAGAGGCTACCAGGAGCCCCAATTCCACCCAAAACCGGATGAAGACCATACAATTTTTAAAGATTCCGCTTTCCCGCTTCCGAGGGGCCTCTGAGGCCTCGGGATAGTCCAGTAATAGCCCCAGAGAGGCCCAAAAGAAGCCCCCAGGACGCTCCAGAGACGCCTCCGGAAAGCTCCAGGAGCCCCCAAGAGGCCCCGAGAGGGCCCATGGAGTCCCAAGACGCTCCGAAGAAGCCCCCAAGAGACTCCAACAGGCCCCAAGAGACCAGAGACCGCCAGGAAGTCACACATTCTTCACGACAATCTCGGGCGGAACATCAGCATAGTGCTTTTCATCCCTTCACACCTCGTCGCCGTCGCTGTCATCCAGATGTTCCTGGAGAGGCTTCCGGGAACATCTTCTCGCCCATCCTTCCTTTTCTCCCACCTCGCAAAAATTCCCGCGAGGCCTCCCGGGGGGCCTTCCGAGACCCCCAAGACGCCTCAAACGTGCCTTACAGAGGCTCCCCAGAGACTGGCGGGACGGCACTCGGACATCGACTTCCCCATCCCTCCCACTCTTCGGCCTCCGCCTCCTCCTCCTCCACAGGCACCTCCTCCTCCTCCTCTCCCTTTCATATTCCTCCTCCTCCTCCTCCAACTCCTCCTCCTCCTCCTCCTCCTCCTCCTCCTCCTCCTCCTCCTCCTCCTCCTCCTCCTCTCCTCCTCCTCCTCCTCCTCTCCTGCTCCTCCTCCTCCTCCTCCTCCTCCTCCTCCCTCCTCCTACTCCTACTCCTACTCCTACTCCTACTCCTACTCCTACTCCTCCTGCTCCCGCTCCTGGTCCTGCTACTCCTCCTCCTACTCCTCCTCCCCCTCCTCCTGCTCCTCCTCCTCCTCCTCCTCCTCCTCCTCTTCCTCTTCCTCTCCCTCCTCCTCATCCTGCTCCTGTTCCTGCTCGTGCTTATCCTCCTCATCCTTTCGCAGGGGAGGTGTAACAATTGCGGGTCTGGTTAAGAAATTCCTCACATTTTGGGGGGTATCTGGACGGGACCCGTACATCCCTTGCCAACGCTACACAGTGTGGATCTCACAAAGGCTAGAGCGACAAGAGGCAAACATCATCTGTTCTGTTCACGAGGCGCCATTCTTTTCGGACCTTCGAATTGTAGGGCTTCTGGGGCTCTCAAACTACAGATGAGGACTACAAAGTCGCTTCAAGCAGCCCCACTGAAGGTCCACACGACAGCCCAGGAGAGCCCCAAAACACCCCAGAGGCACCCGAAATTGATCAAGAGGACCCCACGTATGCAAGATGTTCCCGGAGACCTCCCTGGGAACATCTCACCGACAACGACGATGAGAGCGAAGTTGATGACCATGGTGGTGATGAGGGTGGTGATGGGTGAGACGACAGCGGCGACGGCCTAAACGGTTAGCGTGGTGTTGTCTATGATAATGGCGGTGATGATGACGATGGGAATGCGAATGGTGATACTCATTCGGATGCGGACGATGCTTGTAAGAATGACGGCACACGATTATGACGTCGACGTTGCCATTATGATAATGGGGATGCGGAGGACGGGGGAGACGATGGTAATGATGCTGAGGGGTAATGATGGAAGCGACCATGGCTATCGCTTGTGCACGCTCGAGCCGACACAGCTCGTGCGACAGCCCGACTCGCGCTAGGATCTGAGCGCGCGCGAAGATGATAATGATGGGTGAGACGATACCTGCGGCGGCGTACAAACTGAGCGTAGCGGGCCTCCTGGCAATGATGAGTTGAAAAGGAGTACAACGATTCGAATGGTGACGATGATTGCGATGCGCGAGTTTGACGTACAGCATCACCAGCAACACCAGGCCAAGTATGTTACCAATGAAGATGATGATTAATCCGATCATGAGTCTTGGCATGACGACGTTGCCCATGATGTGACAAGATGAGAATGAGGAGCACGCAAGAAATGATGAAGGCTATGAGGACGAAAGCGACCATGGCACGCGTTTGTGCATGATAGGTTTCCAATAGCTTTCGGTGCGCCCCCGGACTGCGTCAGAACCTGAGCGGGCGCGTTGCGTGCGCGACGGTCTTTAGTAATATACACGTGTGGATGTATCGGTACTATATCGGCATAGATGCATGTGCATATACGTGTAAATACATGTGCGCACATATATGTTACATCCGTCACGTGGTAACGCAGGGGGGCAGTCAAATACGATTCTAGTCTGCTCGGCACGCGGCAACGCAGGGGGGCGAAGACACTTGATCCCGCTCCCTTCCGCACGCGGCAGCGCAGGGGGGGCAAGAACATATCATTGCATCCGTAATCCGTCACGCGGCAATGCGCTTAATACTCAAATAGTTTACTCGTTAAAGTTACGCTTCAAACCGTGTTATATTACGCATGTTTGGGCTATTGTGTTACATCGGAGTGTAAATAGATATATCTGGACTCGAAAGATTCGTTCTCCGGTCAGCCGTGCGAGGCATCTTCTGGAAAGGTTGGCAGGCTAGTTGGTTGGTGGGCGGGCTCGTTGGTTGCTTGCCCTGTAGGCTTGATGGCCGATTGGCTGATTGGTTGGTTGGCCCATTGGTTGGTTGGTTGGTTGGCCCGTTGGTAGGTTCGTGGTTGGCCCGTTGGTTGGTTGACCTGTTGGTTGGTTGATTGGTTCGTTGATGGTTGGTGGCATGTTGACCAGTTGGTTGGTTGGTTGGCCCGTTGGTTGGTTGGTTGTTTGGTTGGCCGGTTGGTTAGCAAGTCGCGTGTCCGCCCAGCGAGATCGAAGCGTAGTTATCCCACCTTTAGCTACACATGGCAACGCACACGTCGACGAGCGGGGACCAGGGCCAGCGTCCGTCGTGCATGTTTTGAAGGGTCTGAGGGGTGCTCCCCGCCTGGACGCCGCAAACCATACGTCGCGTCGCAACAGGGGGGGGCAACACAGGAGAGGCGAAGCCATAATCCTTGAGATCCTGGCGCTGCAAGTTTTTCACAACGGGCGTGTTCGAACCACTTCGGACTCCGGGACCATCACATATCGATCCAGCTCGTAAAACATGGCGCAGAGAAAGGGGGGTCCGGGGCTTCGGGCGCGATTGCTCGCGATGTTGCCATTTTTGTCGTCGTTACTTCGGATCTCAGGGCAGTTACAATCCCACATTGGTTCCCAGACATGCGACGTCCTGATTTTCCATACGGGGTCCCTGGAAGTCCCGACCCTTTCCCCGGGACCGGTTCTTCGTCTTGAGTCGTGTCTGACGGTCCCGAGGCCCGGCGAGGGCCCCCCGAGGCCGAACTTTGCCAAAGACCTCCTGTCCTGATTTTTGCAACGACTCGATCATGTCTGGGTTCCCACATGGCGACGCAGGCGTCGGCGCAGGGTGGCTGGGCCAGCGCCTGGGGGGCATGTGCTCGAGGGGCCGTGGCGCCCTCGCCCGCCGCTTGCCGTCTTGCGCGCCTGGGGCCTCGGGCTGAGAGCTGGCGTCCACCAGCACGGGTCGGCCCGCGGCTTACACGTGTCAGAGCGTTGGAGGCCGGGGAGGTGTTGTTCTGTGACCCTTCGCCGGAGTGACCTTTGGCGCGGGCCCAATGGGTCCTCCGATCGCCGAAAGCGCTGCGATATCAGCGGCTTGCGCGTTTGGGTTTGCCCCCCCCCCCCCCTCCCCGCGCTCCCCTAGTGCCGCGCACCAAAGGTCACTCTTACCCAGTGTCACTCTTGCGTGTAGCGGATGAATGATTAATGATGAGAACCCACCAGTTTTCTTAAAAAGTCTCCCCAAGCTCGTATGGCCCTTCAACTGCGCATCGCTTCAACCCTGAACCCTCTGCGCGGAGCCTAGGATGTCTGCGTTTATTCCAAAGAGGGTCAGGAGGAGGAGGGAAAGGAGAAGAGGGAGGGAGAGGGGAGGGGAGGTAGGGGAGTGTTCCACCCGCGTTCGGGCAGGACCGCGCCGCACGAGCGCCTGGGCCTACCGGACGAGACCCTTCTCGGGCTTTTCGAGGCGGGGGGGAGCATGTCCGCCAAAAAACAAATACACAACACACACACACACACACACACACGCACACTCACGCACCTCCTCTACCATTAAGCAATTTGAATACTACTCTCCCTCCTCCCCTGAAGTTGTCCAGAAGATCTCCCGCCCCCTCCGCGTGCTGTTTTTTACGCATCGGAGTTCAATAGCTGCTTTGTCTTATTGTGTTGTGGCATCCGATGGTTTGCAGTGTCTCAAAATAGTGTTCCCGCCCCAGCGTGGGCCTCATATTTGGATCAGCGTTTTTCCCCGTCGTTCAGAATGGCGCTCTCTCCCCAGCGCGGGCCACTGTTCTGGATCCGAGTCTTGCTTAATGGTGGTCCCCCCCTCCCCATTTCCTCTCCTCCGCCTTCCCCTGGTCCTGTTCCTCCCGCTCCTTCCACTCCAGTTCCTGCTGTTGCTGTTCATCTCGCCCCAGCGAGGTCTTCCTATCTGAATACAAGTTTTGCTTCATCGCTGTCCCCCCATGATTCCCCCTCCTCCGCCTTCCCCTGGTCTTCCTTTTTCTCCCTAGCATTCCACTTTAGTTCCTGATGTTGCTGCTGATGTTCGTCCTCATCCTTTCCTCTCCTGTGCATGCAGCTTCCTTTCTCCCCCCTTGCGCATAACATGCAGTGGTCTGTCTGTGGGAGGCGCAGGCTGGCTATGACACACGTCCGCGGATAATGAAAAGCCAGCGCCATGTCGAGGGACGGGAGGGAGGGATCGGATGTCAGATGAGGCGCGAGCGCACCTGGCTTGCCTCCACGCCCCTCTTCCCCCACCCCTTCGCTCGCCCTCTGCTCCCCCTGCCACCGTCACCCCCACGCCCCTCCCCCACACCCTTCCCTCGCTGCCCATCCTCGCTCGCTCCTCCACTGCCCCATCCAGGTTCGCCTCCCCTCCCCTTTCGCTCCCCTGACCTCCCCACCTCCTTTGCCTCCCCGCCCCGTCACTCCTGGCCCACCCGTCCCTTCATCCACCTCTCCCTCGCCTCTCTGCGTCGATCCACCCCCCCAGTGAAACTACCGCTCTCTCCCCCTTCACCTCCCTTCATGTGTGTAGCCCAAAACCCGGATAGCCGGGCGCCAGAAGGGCTTGCGAAGGCCTGTCGAAGAACGCTGGAAGCTCCTGGAGAGAGCTCCTCAAGGAGCCTCTGGAGAGCTTCCGGGCAGACATCTCGGGAGACGCCCAGAGAGGGCCTCTCGGGACACGCCGCAAGTCCCAGCAGGCTGCGCCGGGGGTCTTCCACGGAAGCCGGAACGAGCTGCGGGGCTGGCCTGCGGCCCCGGCCTCTTCCTCTGAGGCCCTCCGAGCCCTCGGAGAGCTCTCCGGGAGCGGCTCACCCAGACCTGATGGCCCATTTGCGCGCCCTCCCCTCTGCCTCTCACCCACCCCTATAATGGCTCCCGATCGGTCACCGCCCCCCCCCCGGGCCCCCTGCCAGAAGGAGGAGAAGGAGCAGCAGCAGCAGCAGCAGCAGCAGCAGGAGCAGCAGCAGCAGCAGCAGCAGCAGCAGCAGCAGCAGCAGCAGCAGGAGTGGGGGAGGACGACCAGCAGCAGCAGCAGAAGGAGGAGGAGGAGCAGCAGAAGCAGCAGCAGCAGCAGCAGCAGCAGCAGGAGTGACCACATGATGTTTCAATGTCGATGCAACACTCGGCGGCGGACGCCCGGGGGCGGAAGTGAGAAGGGGTGGGCCTGCTCTGAAGGCTCTGAAGTCCCCGGGCCGTCTGCGAAGTGTTTTGAGCTTTCCCCGGAGACACCGAAGACCTCGCAGCAGGTCTGGGGCCTCCTGAGAAGCGCCGCCACCTTCTGAGAAGGCCTTCTCCTCCTCCCCTCCCCCCCCCCCCTCGCTCGCTCGCCGCCGAGACGCACCTTCCAGTCCCAAGGTCTCCTTCTCGCAGGCCCTCACAAGCGCTCTGTCTCTCGCTGTGCCCAGCGCGCCCCCGGACGGCAGCACCGCCTCGGGCCCGCCACTGGGGCGTGAGAGCTCCGCTCTGAAGCAGAAGGATCCCCGGCTGGAGAAGGCACCGCCCCCTGCCCAGGTCTAGACCTACGTTGGGCGTGTCCCTCTACAGGAGGAATATTCAGAAATAGTGACAAATACTATGATGACGATGTTTAGACCATTTGTTTGGCAATTGTTGGTCATTGTTTGCGTGTTGTTATTTGTCGTCCAGAACCCGCCTGTAGAGGGACATGCCCGACCTAAGTCTAGACTCTAGGCATCGATCGGACGTGCGCATTTTTTTCTCGGCGAGGACCATCGAGGAGCATCCTGGATCACCTGGCAAGAAAAGCGCGCACGAGACCGAAAAGTGCACGGTGAATGGACGCCCGAGCCATGACAATGCGGCTCGGGCCATGAAAGGTGCCGAGGTCTCAGGTTGAAGGGGCAACGCCATCCATCCGTGCAAAAGCTGCCCACCTGTGGATCTCGAGGAGCGCTGCCCGAGGAGGCAGCACGCAACAGCCCCGATGTCGAGGAAGAGCCGCCCTCCACCCGTGTGACTGCTGGATCCGTCCGAGCCGAGCGTGCACGGAGCCGAGGCGACTGCCCCACTGCGGCTCCGGCTCGCCCTCCAGCCGTGCAGCTGCTGGACATGCTGAGCACGACTGCGCGCTGCGCTCGGGCCAGAGCCGCGGTCTGACAACGGGTCGCCCTCTGTGGGTGCCAAGGGGTCGGGTGCTGCTGATTGTGTTTGCGAGTGTGCGTGGCTGCAGAACGGCGATCCAATTTTGAAGACGGCCCGCCCTTCATCCGCGCAGGTGTCGGGCATTTCATGTCAAGCCTCGGGATCTTGGACGGAGAGGAGGTCTCGGGCGAAATGCCCTTCTTCACGCTGCCGACAGGTCTGGCAGCGCGGCAGGGCTTCTCATAAGGAAGAGGGGTGAAGATGAAAAGGAGGAGGAAGAGAAGAAGAAGAAGAAGGAGAAAAAAGGGGTGAGGAGGAGATGCCAACGAAGGAGGTAGCATGCTGGGCACAGCTTGCATCCCACCGGTGCGTTCGCTGAGCAGCAGGCATTTTTGGAAGGAGCAAGGCACAAGGCCGCTCCGCTCTTCCAGGGGCGGGAGGCTGGGAAAGGCTCGGGACGTTGACGCTTTCGGGCTGGGACGAGGTGCTGCGCCGAAGCTCAGAGGAGGGAAAGGTGCCGGTATTGCTACCCTTCCGTCGTTTGCCCATCTGGGGCCTCCTGGGAGGCCCTCGTCGCCACGGCTGGATTCAAATCGAAAGTTTGGTCAGACACGCCCTGGGAGATGTCCTGGGAGTAGCAGTATGAGAAAGGTGGTGGGCCAGGGCCGGCTGAGCGACTCGCTGAGCCGAAGTTCCTGACTGGAGTCGCGCTGCCGCGCGTGTCTTGGAGGCAGCGTAGCGGGGTGGCGGCAACATGGGGGGCAGCGAGGGCTGCAGAAAAGGAGCCCCTTCGGGCCCAGGATGAGGCCTTCTAGAGCCCGAAGAGGCACAACTCGTCCCCCCCCTTTCTAGAAGCCCCCCATTAACTCGCACCCAAGTGTCCGCCACAGTGGCAGGGGCCCACGAGCCCCCACTGACCAAGAGTGCGGCTCTGGACGAGTGCTGCCAGGCGATGAAGGAATGCCCGAGGGGGTCGCAGCGCTCCACTGTCAAGTGGACGATCAAGCAGAGATTCTCGATTCGTCGTCGTCGAGGCCGCTGGGCCGCAGCCAGCGACAGGGATGAGAGATGATCGCTTGGCTCCTTGTGCGCCGCCCTCTTCCAGGATGTTTTCCCCGCCCCTTCACCGCGCAGCAGACAGAGGACGGGCCCATTACTGCACACGCTGTAGCGCCTGTTGTTCTGCAGCCAGGTATGCTTTCAATGTGATGACGGCATATGAAAAAACCGCAAGGTGAGAGAGAGCAACACCGACACTGGGAGCGATGGACGGGCTGTTAGCTATCCAGAGCGCCCGCGCAACGCAGTGCGAGATCACACCGGCGGCAGGTATGGTAACAGCACGCATCAAAGAAACATCTATATTATTATGCTGTTTATTTATATACCGAACAACAAAGAAACTATAAAAACTTGGCTGGTGGCAGAGGGACCCCACGCAGAGGGCAGGGTGAAGGACGTCGGGCGCGAGCGCACCTCGCCTCCTGCCTCCCCTCCTCCCGCTCTGCCCTCCACCCTCCCGCCCTCCGCGGGCAAGTGCAGCTGGGGGCAGCGAGCGCGAGCTGTGCTTCGGGGGCGACGGAGGAGGGGGCAACGCTCGTAGGGCTAAGTCGCGCGTGTCTCTCTGCGGGAGGAATGCTCGAAAGGAATAAAAAATAGTCTGGGGACGATTGTTCTACTATGTTTGACTATGTTTGAACATGTTTTGGCTATTTTTAATGTTTCAAGCAATATCCGCCTGTAGGGGGGCATGCCCAACCTAATCATAGGGCAAGAGCAAACCACAGCAGCCGAATCGTCGGCAAGAGCAAACCGACGATCCGAGCGTCTTGCGAATGTGGGCGTCGTGGGGACTGCGATTGACGGATCGAGCGCGCCGGCGAGCGTAATTACCACGATCTGGCCCTTCTCGACCATTCGCTGCCCTGGCAGATGCCCCGACGCCGAGGCCGTCTGCGAGGCCTGGGCCACGGCTCACAGCGACACCTCCGAGGGGGAAACCTGACCGGCTAGGGGCCGGGCAGCGCGCGCTGTGCGAGACACATCGTGCCCGCAGGGATTGCCAGATCAAACCAATTCAACAACCCTTGGGGTCGGGGTCGTGCCACGCCGGGTCGGGCCCAGGCGGATGCCCCCTCACGGGCCCCGCGCCCGACGCCCGCCGGCCGAGGTCTGGGCCTTCTTCGAGCGCCTCTTCGCGGTCTGCGAGGGGGAGAGCGAGGGCCTCGCGATGCCCGTCCCTTGCGAGGCGTCGCGCGCCCTCCTCCTCCTTCCTCCTCCTCCTCCTCCTCCTCCTCCTCCTCCTCCCTCCTCCTCCTCCTCCTTCCTCCTCCTCCTCCTCCTCTTCCTCCTCCTCTTCCTCCTCCTCCTCCTCCTCCTCCTTCTCCTCCTCCTCCTCCTCCTCCTCCTCCTCCTCCTCCTCATCCTCCTCTCCTCCTCCTCATCCTCCTCCTCCTCCCCCCCTCCTCCTCCTCCTCCCTCCTCCTCCCTCCTCCTCCTCCTTCTCCCCCTCCTTTTCCTCCTCCTCTCCTCTCCTGCTCCTCTCCTCCTCCTCCTCCTCCCCCTCCTCCCTCCTCCTCCTCCTCCTCCTTCTCCTCATCCTCCTCCTCGTCCTCCTCCTCATCATCATCATCATTACCACCATCTCGTCATCCCTTCTCCTCCTCCTCCTCCTCCTCATCCTCCTCCTCCTCATCATCATCATCATCATCATCATCATCATCATCGTCGTCGTCGTCATCATCATCACCGTCATCATCCTCATCCTCATCCTCGTCCTCATCCTCCCTCTTCCCTTCTCTTCCTCCTCCCTCCTCCTCCTTCCTTCTCCTCCTCCTCCTCTTCGTCCTCCTCCTCCCTCTTCCTCCTCCCTCCTCGTCCTCCTCCTCCCTTCTCTTCCTGCTCCTCCTCCTCGCGCGGCAGCCGCGCGGGCCTGCAAGGGGGGCTCAGGGGCACGACAAACGGGGGCAGGGATCTCCAGGCTGCCACGCGTTGCCGCGCTGCAGGGGGGCCTACAGGGATCGGCGGTGCAAAGGTAGGGCCCCGAGGGGTGCGGCCCTGAGGTTACAGTCGACGATGATCAATAGACCGACCCTGCCAAGCCAGAGTACCCCATGTGTCCTGTGTGTTCGGCGGCCCAAGACTTCTCAGATTCCTATGGCAGTGTGAGCGGCGCAATACAACAGGGCCGTCCGCGACGACATTGGCGCGTAAGTTGCCCGCGTAAGGTCGTGCGTAAGCGCCCACGTATCCATTGTGGATTGACGCGCTGGTGGCCCGCGTCAGTCACCGCGTAAGGTCGGTATGCCATCTCGCGTAGGACCCGTTTTGATTCGTCGCTCATGTGGACCTCGGAAGAGCCCTCTCCAATCCCAGACTCCCGAAGTCGTGGTCTTTTCGCAACGTCGACCCCCAGAGGCCTGGACCCCCTCCTGGGACAAATTTGTCGTCCTGAGTCGTTTTTTGCAAGTCCCGAGGCCCAGCAAGGGCCCCAGGAGGCCGAAAATGACGAAAAACTTCCTGTCCTGAATTTTTCCGCAAGGGGGTCTGGGAATCAACCCCGATTGTAGGAAGGGATCCAAGGGTGGGCTCTTTCCGACAGTACCTCTGGCCGCGCCGCGGCTACCTCCCGCGGCACTGGCGCCGCCTCTGGGCCATCGCCTTCGTCGTCCTCCTCGTCGTCGTCTTCCAGGAGGGGACGACGACGAGGAGAACGACGAAGAGGAAGGACGACGGAGGGACGTAGGAGGGGCCCCCCTCCCTCCCTCCCTCCGTCCTCCTCCTCCTCCTCCTCCTCCTCCTCCTCCTCCTCCTCCTCCTCCTCCTCCTCCTCCTCCTCCTCCTCCTCCTCCTCCTCCCCCTCCTCCTCCTCCCCTCCTCCTCCTCCTCCTCCTCCTCCGCCTCTTCCTCCTCCTCCTCCACCTTCTCCTCCCAATCCTTCTCCTCCGCCTTCTCCTCTCGTCCTACTCCTGGAAGGCGCCTCCTCCTCAGGACACAGGACCCCATCGCTGAGCCACCGAAGGGGCGGGCCATATCGGGCGTGGCGCCGGCCCCCGCCGGCCGTCGGTCCCGCTCGTGAGGACAGGGAGGGAGCGGGCAGGGGCGCAGGGAAGTTGGCGCAGCCGAAGGGAGGCGCAGGGGAGGGGAGGGTGTGGTTGAGGTCAGCGTACTCCCCAGACCTCGCGCTGCGAAAGAGTCGCGACGGGGGGGGGTCGCTATGTTCGGCCTCCTGGGGGCCGTCGCCGGACCCCGAGAGTGTCAAACCAGTTCCTGGGAGGCCTGGGAGGGGGTCCGGACCTGCGGGGGTCGACGCTGAAGTGAGAAAAAGTCGCGACGTCGGGGGTCTGGGTCGGTTGTCGGAGAAAGATGGCGGGCGAGGGCCCCTGACCCAGGCCGGCGAGAAGAGATGAGGGGGCGTGGCGACACAGCCCAGAGGGGAGGGTCTCCCCGTCTCGCCGCTTCGCTGTGTGTGGCGGCTGCTTGTGCCGTGAGTATCGGGGAGTCTGGTGGGCAAATGCTCCTCCTCCTCCTGCTCCTCCTCCTCCTCCTCCTCCTCCTCCTGCTGCTCCTCCTCCTCCTCCTCCTCCTCCTCCTCCTCCTCCTCCTCCTCCTCCTCCTCCTCCTCCTCCTCCTCCTAGGACAAAGAGGGGGGATGCAACGTTCCCAGGAGAGCCGCTTGAGGCGCTGGCAGTTAACCTTCGGGGGGGCCCCTCGTCGCCACGGCTGGACGCAGCGCGGAAGATTGGTGCATTTGGACTTCGGGAGGGGGTCGGGGGACCGAGTTTGAACTCCCAGTGTCTCAGACCAACCGCCCTGCTCCGAATTGCGGGGCAGGGGCAGGAGGCGACGGTGGGGCCGCCCACCCCGCGACGTCAGCCCGTCTTCCCGCCACGTACATATATATGCTCGCCCCCCCCCACATGATCATACACATTCTCCCATCATCCCTCCAGTCATCATAACCCGTTCCTTCCTCCTGTTTTTCTTCATGATGGTTTGCTACGTTGCAAACCGCAATTCCGTCGATTGCAATCCAAACACTTCAGCGCGAAGCGACTTCAGTCTTTCGCGGCGCATTGCAATCCAATCTCACCATCTCATGTTTATGATGCCCCTCCTCCTCCTCCTCCTCAGCATCCTACTCCTTCTCAACCTCAAGCTCCCCCTCCCTCTCTTTCTCTTTCTCATCTTTCTTCTTTGAAGCTTTCTCCACCTTCTCCTCATAATTGTCCTCTCCTCCTCGTCCTCCTCTTCCTCCTCCTCCTCGATACCAAACGCCTTGTCCTCCTCGTCCTCCTCCTCATTTTCCTCCTCTACCGTCTCCCAATCCTCTCCACATCCTCTTCCTCCTTATGTTTGTCTTCTTCCCCCTCCGCTTCAAAATCAAATGCATTGGCCTCAACTCTTCTCTTCCTCCTCCTCTTCCTTCTCCTTCCCCTCGTCCTCCTCATTCTATGAATCCTCATCCACTTCTTCCTCATGTTTGTCCTCATCATTCTCCTCCTCCTACCCCCTCTCACTTTCAAACTCCTTGTCCTCCTCTTCCTCCTCCTCCTCCTCCTCCTTGTCCTCTTCATCTTCCTTCTCTGAATCCTCCTCCATCTCCTCTTCGGCATGTTGTCCTCCTCCTATTCCGATTCCGCAAATTTAAACTCATTGTCCTCCTCCTGCTTCTCTTCCCCTCCTCCTTCTTTAAATTCTCCTCAAGCTCTCCCTCATGTTTGTCCTCCTCATCAGAATCCTCCTACTATTCTTCCTTCTCCTCCTTCTCTGAATCCTCATTCACCTCTTCCTCCTCCTCCTTCTCCTCCTCCTCCCAATGTTTGTCCTCCTGCTCATCGTCTCCTCCTCCTCCCCCTCCACCACCTCCTCCTCCACCTTCTCCTCCAAACCATATTTGCCCTACTCCTCAAAATTGAGCCCCTTGTTCTCCTCCTCCTCCTCCGCGTCATCTGGTGAATGCCGAGCTCCAGTGGCACCAGCCATAGTTGAGCAACATCCTCCCCCATTTTCCACCGCCTCTTCCTAGCTGTGGAGCGGCGTTCACAACAAGTTTTGTGAATAATGATTCGTAGCGGAAGGTTGCTCGCAAGGTTTGTTGTGGAGTTGCATTCGCAATTAGATTGGAGGGTAACGCCTCGAAGTGGAGAGGAGGGGGCTGAGTGATCAGGAGCCGTAGCAGCAGGAGGAGTAGGAGGAGGAAGAAGAGGAGGGTGAGGAGCATGACGAAGGTGAGGAGCAACACCTTACTCACAAAACTAGGTGTGGAGCGGCGTCCACAGCTAGTTTTGCGAGTAATGTTTCGTAGCAGGAGGCTGCTCACAAAACTGGTTGTGGAGCTGCGTTCACAACTAGATTTGCGAGTGACGCCACGAAGCGGAGAGGTGGGGGTAGAGTGAAGAAACGAAGGAGGAGGAAGGGGGGAGGAGCAGGAGGAGTATGAGGAGGAAGAAGAGGAGGGTGAGGAGCATGACGAAGGTGAGGAGCAACACCTTACTCACAAAACTAGGTGTGGAGCGGCGTTCACATTTAGTTTTGCGAGTAATGTCTCTTATCAAGAGGCTGCTCGCAAAACTGGTTGCGGAGCTGCGTTCGCAACTAGATTTGTGAGTGACGCCATGAAGCGGAGAGGTGGGGTTGAGTGAAGAAAAGAAGGAGGAGGAAGGATGGGGAGGAGCAGGAGGAGTAGGAGGAGGAAGAAGAGGAGGGTGAGGAGCATGACGAGGGTGAGGAGGAAGACATCACTCACAAAACTAGGTGTGGAGCGGCGTTCACAGCTAGTTTTGCGAGTAATGTTTCGTAGCAGGAGGCTGCTCGCAGAACTGATTGGGGAGCTGCGTTCACAACTAGATTTGTGAGTGACGCCACGAAGTGGAGAGGTGGGGGTAAAGCGAAGAAAAGAAGGAGGAGGGGGGAGGAGCAGCAGGAGTAGGAGGAGGAAGAAGAGGAGGGCGAAGAGCATGACGAAGGTGAGGAGCAACACCTTACTCACAAAACTAGGTGTGGAGCGGCGTTCACAGCTAGTTTTGCGAGTAATGTTTCGTAGCAGGAGGCTGCTCGCAGAACTGATTGGGGAGCTGCGTTCACAACTAGATTTGCGAGTGACGCCACGAAGCGGGGAGGTGGGGGTAAAGTGAAGAAAAGAAGGAGGAGGGGGGAGGAGCAGGAGGAGTAGGAGGAGGAAGAAGAGGAGGGTGAGGAGCATGACGAAGGTGAGGAGCAACACCTTACTCACAAAACTAGGTGTGG